CCCCAAAACCCCAAAACCCCAAAACCCCAAAACCCCAGAATTAATGATCAACTTGAAAATAGCATTATGATTCCAAAATTCTCTTAAACTTTCCTGTACTCCTACTAGTCGCTGGATAAAATGAGCACTTCTCAATTTCCTCCAAATCCTTCTTCTTCTTCTCCTGAAACAGCCTAGACCTAAAACCCAAATAAAACCACTCAGAACACCTCAAAACCCCTCTATGTTCATTCTAAACTCAATTTTTGTCCTTTTTCTAAAACTACTAAATTACCTTCTTTCTTGGTGCAATTTATACAATCTCTCTTGCACACTATCTTCTTGAGGGAGCTTCTTCACAATTGCTCTCGACTTTTTACTCAAGGTTGGCATGAAAGTACCATTGACACTTTCACTGCAGCTGTGACTATGAAGTTTTAGCAAGTGAGTCTTCTCCTTCTGAGTCAGTGTTTTATACAATTCAAGACATGATTTGACAAATTTTCATCTCGAGATGCCAGTCTCTGAAGCCTGAATCTTCTTAATAACAGGAGTTAGGATCTTCACTGTCTGTAGGTCTAGATCGTCCAGGGTCAAGTTTTGATTACAGATCTGATGGTTTTTCTGTGTATAATCATGCAAGCATTTCTCTGTTATCTAAAGAAGGTAAAATTATAATGAGAAATTCATCAGATAACCAAAATTCCAAGAAATGATGTTAAAATATACTGTTTGAATAATCCTCTTCAGTCAGATATACAAGTTAAGCAATGAAAGAGGGTTTCTTACATTCTTCATTCTGGATGATTGCTTCTGATTCACAATCAATTTTTCAGAATTTATCTGATCGAAAATTTGCTTAAAAATCTTCTTTTGTAGAGAACTATAGTATCTTGATGAATTTTGAGAAGTCTCAGGGCTATGCACAAAGGAACTAGGAGTAGACATCAAGTTCCTAGAGTAACTTGTTTCATGTATAGGACTAGTTTCGCCCTTGGATCTTGACTTTGAGTTCGAAGCTGACCTTCTCAGCGAAGAAACAGTGTGTTTTCAATGTAGCATACTCCCGAAATTCTGCACGCTGAGGTTTCTTTTAATATAATCTCTCTAAACCATCAAGTTGATACTTACAGTCGAGGAATTAGCAACTAAGTTTCTTGCAGAGAGACACCTTAAGCTCTTCTGATTCGTTACAGGTCTAAAGCTGCATTCAATGTCGTCATTATCAATAGTGGAAAGTTCCTTTTGAGATTGTAAAATTTGTAACAAATTGAGGGGCCTCTTATAATATCTCTGTGATGGCTGTCTTTTGGTCAGGTTGCCTTTCTTGCTCCTATAGAAGTTAACCAAAGCACTTACTTCTTGAACAAAAGTTTATTATGTGTCTTAAAGGTTGCTACCGATTGGTTCAGAGTTCTATAGCATGATATGATAGTCCTACCTTGGCGGGTTATAGTAAAGGTTATTCCTACTCTTGCCTGCATTCTTCCCATTGACCTTGTCCATACCAGAATAGTTAGTAGAAAGCTGCTTGGGCTTATAGAACCTAGCCTGGGCTGACTTCTTAATAGTCATCAGTAATCTCTGCCTGTGTTTGGATTCGGCCTTCTTCTTGGTATTTCTACCCTTTCTCTTCTTCTTGAAAGTCTTCTTGGCAGGCAAGGTCCCCTCAGGTTTCTTCCTGAAGTCTAAAGGATTAGGCTGGATATCGGAGATATTCAAGTTGACCCTCTCTTTGGTGATTTCAGAGTCATGTTCAAGCTTGATTTCTTTAGCTTTGGTGACAAGGAGAATTTCTTTAGAAAGCGAAGGCAAGGAAATCACCGAATTTACCGGCTGCCTAAACTTAGGATTATCCAGCTTGAGACTTTGCTTTGAAGAGCTCTGAGGTGTTTCTGGAGCATCGCTCTGAAACTTATCAGAATCCTTGGATAAGGTTCTTTTGAAGGTAGAGCGGCTATTTTATGAGAGTGGTGAAAGTACACATTGAACCTGACTATTGATCCTGTTGATGAAGATGGACTTGAAGCTTCTTTATTGTTTATAAAGGTCATATCAGTGTCCATCTGATATTGAGTAATCGGAGTTGGATTTGAGTAATCTTTGAAATAGTTTTCAGCTTTGATAATATCAGCAAAATCTGCAGGCTGGTTGCTTGGGCTGTTTGACATATTTAGTTGAGTTACTGTCTCATGGAAGTTATTTTATATCCTCTCTTTCATCTATAGAAGAGTCTCAAACATTCGCGCTATCTTCTGATATCTCAGGATATTTTTCTTCTTCCTTGTCCTAAAGTGTAGATCAGTAAAGAATAGTTCTAAACTCAATAAAAATACGAATACTTGAGAAGAACTCTTCTTACCTTACTTTCGACTGTGCTGCTTTTTAGGTTTCCTCTTTGTTCGCTAAAAATTACTTAATTTTGTTACAAATCTTCTTTCTGCTTTTCTCAGGATGAGAATTCAGGTGTTTTTACTAAAATGAATTAATAAAACATTCATATAAAACGAAAAGGTAAAAATACCTCCATCACTGTCTTCAACACCTTCAAAAATTTCATCTTCCTGTACATAAGCACACATATTTGCGAATAAATTTAATTAAATTATATTCCTCCATTCTAATCTTGTTCAAAGGGGTTTTGGGGTTTTGGGGTTTTGGGGTTTTGGGGTTTTGGGG